CCCCAAAACCCCAAAACCCCAAAACCCCAAAACCCCTATAGAGTCTTTGGTCATTGAAAAAGTAAAGTATTATAGTTGATGTCTGTTTTTGTAGGCGACTCCCACTCCTCTCTTCATGTTGTTGTCCTGAAGTTTTAGGATGTTTTTAAGCCTCTCTTCTTGGTTCCTCTTAGTCTTACTTTGCAGCTTGGTGGCCTGGTCGTAGGACTCCATTGATATATTTCCAGGGTTTCGTCTACCCACCATTGGGTTAGCTTTGTCTATTGAGATTATTAGGTATGTAAAGGGATGAAGCTTTCTTAAAAATTCACATTAATCTTATCCAACAAAGTGTTATTTTATTCTAACTTACATGCACTGTGATGGTTAAGCTTGCCTATCGGAGCTTTCTTGGAGTCCTTCTTGACAGTTCTGGTTACATGGGCAGGGTACTTAATCTTGCCACCTCCAATATCAGAATTATAAGGATTTTGAGGCTTCCTGCCTGTTTTTGTGAGGCCTTTAGGTAAGGCTGCGAGGTTCTTCCTTGATCTCTGTGTTCCCATCTTCTTTTTCTTTGATTTCTCATGGTCTGTTGTGTGACCTCTGTTAAGAGAAGTGGAGTGCTTCTTGCCTATATATGAGTTTGTCAAATTTACCTGGCATGTGTTTCCTAGAAGCCTTCTTTGGGTGTTGGAGTTGACTTGCATCAGCCATTGAGTTATTCAAGCCTCGTGCTACATGGGTGTTTCTTTGGTTCTTTGGCTTACGAACTGGAACTTGATCTATGGGCACTGGCTTCTCTGTGTGTTGAGCAGAACTGAAGGGATATGCCTGTTCAGCCGGCTGTATCTCTTCGTCGTTTCGATATTGTTGGAGAATAGAGTCATCAGAGCCGGAATCTGTACCTACTATATCAGCAGGATTGAAACCGTCAGGTTCATTTCCTGCTATATCCTCATATTTTAAGGAGGTTAGACCGTTCATGGTAATCTTATTGGGGAGCTTATTTTTTATCTTTGATTTGTGAGTTTTTATGGTATGCACTTGCTGGGCAGGAATTGATTTTAGTGCAGGTTGAGATTGAGAAACGTTATAAATAGGATTAGGATTTCTTGCCTGATAAGCATTCATATCTATCTCTCCATTTCCAAGTTTTTCACGCATGAGTTTTTCATGAAGATTTTTCATAACGTTTCTCTGTTTATGATAATGTCTGTCTTTTTCATGTTTCTCTTTAAGCTTAGCATTCTCTCTTTCTTGTTTGAGTTTTCTGACTTTGGCTTTGATAGCTTCTTTATCTTCCTTGGATGTGTATTTATACCTTTGAGATTTGTCATTCTTTTTGATCCGATCATCCTTCTCAGTCATGTTAAAGGGAGCAGCAAAGCCTTTAATCTTCTTCTTGTACTTTGTAGGATCGTCAAGCTGGAGGAACTGCATTGCTTCTTCAGTCATTTTCTCTTTGTCTTCTGATATTTGGCTCATATTTTGAATTTCATTTTCGATCCTTTCTTTCTCACTGTTAAGAGCTTGTATCTCTCTGTCCTGACTGACTTTTTGTTGGACAAGAGCTGGGTCCATTTTGGGAGGATCCTTTGGAAGAGGAACTTGGACCTCTCCAAATTGGTCCTTTTCTTCAGCATCATTAGCAAGACTAGTCTCTCTTGGACTAGCTTCCTAAGGAATAAAGGAAAAACTTACGTTTGGGGTATCCTGGGATTCCATCTTGTCCTTAACCTTTTGTAGCTCCTTCTGATGCATCTTTTCAAGAGCTCCATGAGGATCGCCTCCTCTAGATTTATGATTTTCAAATGGCTTGTCTTTGCTTTTCTTCAGTTTGCTTTCTTCTTTCACAGGACCGGTTTCCAAGTTAAGAGGTACCTCATCTCTGGAGTTATCTTTTGGCAAAGAATTTTCTTCTGTAACTTGAGGTTTACTGTGATGCTTTGAGTTAAGGTTTGATTCAAGTTTACGAGTTCTCCTGTCAATCAGAGTTACAACTTCATTTAACCGCTTCTCTAGTCCTTCAAGCTTCTCTTTATTTCGCATAGAGATTAATTTTGGGAAGGATTCTTTAAAATGTTCGATGAACATCTCCTTACTATTCTTGGCAGTCTTCTTGAAAATCTCTGCACATCTGGTCTTACTGACTGGAATTTTAAAATCTTTGCAGAATTTCATGAATTCTCCCATGTTCATGTTGGAGAGTTCGTATTGGATTTCTTCGAAGGTAGCTTTCTTGCCAATCATGAGGTGCTGTCTAGTATAAAAGTCAAAGATCTCTCTGATGCCTTTCTTCCTGCGGTCCTCTAAGGGCTCTACTGGATCTTCAAGACGTTTCTCAATCTCAATTTGTTTCTGGTGAGCGCTAGTCTGATTATACGAATTATTTTGCTTAGCTTTCGGAGCTTCATCTGCCATCTGTTTTTGATGATAAGGAATCGATTCTTGCCCATATGGATTTGTTTCAGGAGGATATGAGTCCATGTTATTTCCATACGGGATGTTATCGGCAGGATAACCATCTTGAGGGTAAGGATCCTGAAGCTGAGGTGATGGCGATGGCTGAATTATTTTCTTCTCAGGGTAACTAAGTGAGAGATTATTGTAATTCTGATCGTTCATATCTTCATACTTATTCTCCTCTCCTATCATAGCGCCATTATAGTCAGGTTTAAAGTCTTTGCTTTCTTCAGGATGTTCTGCATAGCGCTTACTGATATCACTGTCAGGGTTATGAGATACTCCATCAAGCTTATCTATTTCTTTTCTTACTCCTTCTATCATCAGGTCTAACTTTTCCTTCTCATTTTGAGCAGTCATGCTTTTCTTCATGGTATAATATTGCTTAATTTTCCCTAACAGTTCAACCTTGTCTTGGTTATTTTCTAGCCTGGCTTCTTCAATATCTTGTTCAGTCTCTTTGATTTTCATGTCTTCTTCGTTACTATTATTTCCTTCTTGGTTCTTAGAGAATGGATTATCTTCACCCATTTCTTTAAACGGGTCAAGGCCTGAATCTTCATTGTACTGATTAACCTGTACGAAGGCATATTTGGCATCAATGCCGTTGAAATAAGCCATCAGGAGCTCTTCAAGGGTTTTCAAGTTGAGTGTTTCCAGGTTCAAAATATTAGCCTGATTTGATAGATCATTATAGAAGTCCATTTCTTCAGTTTCGTTACAAATACTGGAGTCTGACTTTGGCTGCTTTTTAGCAAGACTTACGATTCGGACACCCATTGTAGACATGAGGGATGGGAACAACCCGAAAATGTTACTAGTTTTAGCCTCTTCAGAAGCACCCCCAGTGGAGTTACGAATTACAGTTTTGATTTCATCCTGGAGAGTTCCTAGTCTTAACCTCACTGTGTCAATAGAGTCAGCTAATAACGCAGAGGTAATCTCTTCCCTGAACATCAGAATCCATTGGGTTAATAAATCTTCGAATTCCTTTTGTGAGAGGAACATTTCAGGAGTTAGAGCTTTCTTTGCATCGTTTAGTAGTTCCTCATATTCATCAAGGTCAAACTGTATGCTAATATCTGCAAAGATCGCATCTATCTGACTCGCTACATCAAATTTATCGGTTTTCTTATCAGTCACATATGTTTGGAAAACATGAGCTCAGTTCTTTTGAGCCCATTCAATGTCAGCAGGAGCTGGGCCATCTTTTGTTGCCATTTTACAAGTTAAATTTTATCTTACTAAATTCCTTATTTTCTTATAATTCGGGGTTTTGGGGTTTTGGGGTTTTGGGGTTTTGGGGTTTTGGGGTTTTGGGG